CCACCCTGTCTCCACCAAAAATACAAAAAAAAATCGCCAAGTGTGACGGTGCACTCCTGTGATCCTCCCAGCTACTCAGGAGGCTCAGGTGGGAGGATTGCTTGAGCCCAGGAGGTGGAGGCTGCAGTGAGCTGAGATCATGCCACTGCACTCCAGCCTGGGAGACAGAGCAAGACCTTGTTTCAATTAAAAAAAAAGGCACTGGGCTCAGTAGCTCACACCTGTAATCCCAGCACTTTGGGAGGCCGAGGCAGGCAGATCGTGAAATCAGGAGTTCGAGACTAGCCTGGCCAATATGGTGAAACCCCGTCTCTACTAGAAATAAAAAAATTAGCCAGGTGTGGTGGTTGGGGGCCTGTAATCCCAGCTACTCAGGAGGCTGAGGCAGGAGTATTGCTTGAACCTGGGAGGCAGAGGTTGAGGTTAGCTGGGATTGCTCCATTGCACTCCAGCCTGGGCAACAAGAGTGAAATTCCATCTCAAAAAAAAAAAAAAAAAAAAAGGGGGCTGAGACAAGAGCTTAAAATTGGCAAGTGCTGAGTGCCTGCCTGTCACCATCACCAAGTGTCCAGGCACCTGGGTAAATGGTTGGCTCACGTGTTTGTTGTGTGGAGTCTTCACCTGAATCTTGTGCAGTCAGTCCTATAATTGTCCCACCTGGAGGCTGGCAGCAGGCTCGGGACTTGAGCCCAGCTCTGCTCATGGAGCCTGCGCTTGCAACAGCCACATACCAAGGCCTCTGCCCACCACACCAGGCAGGACTGCCGTAGTGACCTCACATGAGGGCTGGGACCGGTGGGGTGCTTGTGCCTGTCTGGAAGCTTGTCTGGCATGCCAGGGGCTGTTTAATATTTACTGAGTCCTCCCAGAGCTGGTGAAACATCCGGCCCCAGAGGCTCTCCCTGCCCTGGCTTCTGTGACACCCGGGCCAGACATGCAGCCTGATTTTGCCATCCGGAGGCTGCATGTGCATCACCTTCCCTGGGTCGGCAGGCCCTCAGAGTGACCACTGCACCTGTCCTGTTGAACCCCAGACAAGGAGCACTGGGCTCAGAGCTTTCCCGGGAGCAAGTGCATCCAGGTACGGCTGTGGCATCGAGGGTGGATGAAAGCGGGGCTGGGCCAAGGGTACACACCTGCTGGGGAGCGTGGGCCCTGGGGAGCAGATAGTGAGCGGGCTCCTGCAGCCCCACCTCTGAGTTGCCTGCCCCCTGCCTGCTGCTGGCCTGCCGGGGGCCCCAACTGTTGGAAACATGCCTCTCCCTGAGGCTGGAGCCCTGCCCATCTCTGCCAGCCTGGAGATGGTAACCTTGTGGAGGGTCCAGTTCAAGAGGTGGGTGATGGGTCCTCAGGGAGGGTGAGGGGAGGAGGGAGCACAGCCCCTCTAGGCTTTGGAAAACATCACTTGACATGAAATATATTCAAATGGCCAGGCTCAGTGGTTCACGCCTGCAATCCCAGCACTTTGGGAGGCTGAGGTAGGCAGATCACCTGAGGTCAGGAGTTTGAGACCAGCCCAGCCAACAAGGTTAAACCCTGCTTCTACTAAAAATACAAAAGTTAGCCAGGCGTGTTAGCACGTGCCTGTAATCCCAGCTACTCAGGAGGCTGAGGCAGAAGAATTGCTTGAACCTGGAAGGAGGAAGTTGCAGTGAGCTGAGATGGCGCCATTGCACTCCACCTGTGCGACAGAGCAAACTTCGTCTCAAAATAATAATAATACCTGTCTCATAGGGTAGTTGTGAAAGTCGAGATATTTCTATAAAGCCCTTCGCGTGCTCCTGGCGGTAGCAGGTGCCCACGGTTACCTACGGCCCACGTGTTCTCACTAAGCTCCCGGAGCCCTTGGTCTCGTGGTGTCAGCTGTTCAGCAACCCAGTAGCCCTGGCCTGAGCTCAGTTTCTCTGCTCTACAGAGACATTCATTGTAAAGGTGTGGGAAGCTGGACTTTCTCTGGGAGCTGCCCTTCTCTCACACATTCTGGGTCCCCAAAGCTAGAGAGGCCCCATGTCCAGGCCCTCTGCAGCCTCCCATGCCTGCTTGGGTCAAACCTCACTCCTTGCTGTCCACCCCAGAGCACACCCGGTCCCCTCCCCCCAGCTCCCTCTGATGCCACAGTTAGTTCTAAGAGTCGTTTCTGCCATGTCTCTTTTGTGAGAATGTTGTCAATATGTGTCTCTGTCTCTGGCTGGGAACACCCGGGCATGCACTCACTGTCCCGAGCTGCCTGCAGGGCCAGAATCTCTGTTCTCCAATCCCCTTCGCACGCTATATTTCCCCCATTCAGCTGAGCTTAATATTTACCAAGCGCGTAATATATATGTATATTTTAAATTTGAGACAGAGTCTCACACTGTTATCCAGGCTGGAGAGCAGTGGTGTGATCTTAGCTCTCTGCAACTTCTGTCTCCCAGGTTCAAGTGGTTCTCCTGCCTCAGTCTCCCGAGGAGCTGGGACTACAGGCACCCGCCACCACACCCAGCTAATTTTTGTATTTTAGTAGAGATGGGGTTTCACCATGTTGGTCAGGCTGGTCTTGAACTCCTGACCTTGTGATCCACTTGCCTTGGCCTCCCAAAGTGCTGGATTTGCAAGCGTGAGCCACCACACCTGGCTGTGCCTGATATTTTCGAAGCTGTGAACCAGGGGAAAGCTGCAGATAGAATGTGGTGATTCTAACAATAGCTCGCTTGTAAAAAGGTCTCCTTTCTGCCATATTTTGGGCCTGGTATCTAATAGAATTCTTACTACCACCCTCTGTATTATGTGGTCCCATTTTACCGGTGAAATGACAGAGGCTTGGATGGTGTGTTGTTGTAGAGGTGAAGTTGCTTTGACAAGAGGACCCCCAAAATACAGGTGCTTGATTAAGATAGGTTATTCTTCCCTCTCTCCACAGTTCAGGTGGTCGAGGGCATATGTGTGGGGGGCGGGGTCTGCTTCACCGGGCTGCTCAGGGCCTGTTCCTTCCCTCCTGTTGCTCAACCAGCTTCTGGGTCAGGGGTTGGTGCCTGTGGTTGAAACTGCTTTCAGCATATCCTTGTTCCTGCCCCTGGGGAAAGAGGAGATGGAAGAGAAGGGCCAGTGGTCTCCTGTGAGAACTAATGCTGACCCAGGTCCGGTGGCTCACGCCTGTATTCCAGTACTTTGGGAGGCTGAGGCAGGTGGATTATTTGAGGTCAGGAGTTTGAGACCAGCCTGGCCAACATGGTGAAACCCCATCTCTACTAAAAATAGAAAAATTAGCCAGGTGTGGTGGTGCATGCCTTAATCCCAGCTACTACTTGGGAGGCTGAGGTAGGAGAATCGCTTGAACCTGGGAGGTGGGGGTTGCAGTGAGCTGAGATTGTGCCATTGCACTCCAGGCTGGACGACAGTGAGACTCTGTCTAAAACAAAACAAAACGGATGCCAAAGTTAATTCTAAGAGTCATTTCTGCCATGTCGCTTTTGTGAGAATGTCATTGTTAAGTCATACCTGGTGTCAGGGCATCTGGCCAGTAAAGAGTGGACTTCAACACATGCGGGGTGAGCAAAGGCTGCATAGCCAGCCTGGTCCTCCAGCCTCGTGGGAATATGATGGGCTCCCAGAAGGGGCTTAGATGTCAAGGAAAACAGCTCTGTGCTGTGATGAGGGTGCCCTGGCCTCGTATCCTGTCATCAGTCTTGAGATGCTTCTTTGTAAAGGTTGAGGGACCCAGCCATCACCACTGAAAGGCAGTTCTTAGGATCATCCAGTCCACACTCCCAAATCCAGCTGGATAAGCAAAAAAGAGAGCCAGCTGGCTCGTGTAACTGCCAATTCCATGGGCAGGTTCAGCTTTCGACATAGCTGGATCCAGGAACTCGCTGGCATATGGATTTGGCCTGACTTCGTTTGCTCCTCTCTGTGTTGGCCCCAGTCTCCCTACATGGTGGCAAAAGGAGGAGGCTGGAAGTCCCAGGTGTCTGTTCCCCAGTTAGCAATGCCACGGGAAAAAACCCTTCTCTCTTCTGTGAATTCTGAACTCCTGGCTACAGGCCAGGCTTGTGTCCCATACTTCTCCTTGGCCCGGAGGAGCAGAATCTGTGGACTAATGCAGGCCTGGGATGTGGATTTGCTGGAGAATGTCCATGTGCACGTGTGCATGTGCAAATGTGTGCACGCTTGTTGACTGGTCAGGCTACCTTCCCCCCCAAACCACAAGTATAATAAAGCAGAGGTGGGGAGGTGTCCCAGAGGAAGATCGAGGTGCTACTACTCGAGGGAGGGGAATGGATGTTGGACAGGTAAAGCTAACAGATGCCAGGCAAAGTACAGGACTATGACTTGGCCTCCCACATGGCTTTGCCTGCACAGGCAGAGTGCTGATCAGAGAGCACTGGTGTTTAGGCTGCTTGATTGTATTTCTCGCTATAAGTTCATTTCTGACACCAGATTTTTATTACTGTTCTTTTAATCTTCAAATCCAGCCTCCTTATTATTTATTTTTATTTGTATTTTTTTTGAGACAGAGTCTCACTCTGATGCTCAGGTTGGTGTGCAGTGATGCAGGCTCGGCTCACTGCAATCTCTGCCTCCTGGGTTTAAGTGATTCTCGTGCCTCAGCCTTTGGAGTAGCTGGGATTACGGCACGTGCCACCATGCCTGGCTAATTTTTGTATTTTTGGTAGAAACAGCGTTTCGCCATGTTGGCAAGACTGGTCTTGAACCCCTGATCTCAGGTGATCCACCTGCCTCAGCCTTCCAAAGTGCTGGGATTTCAAGTGTTAGCCACCACACCTGGCCCAGGCTCCTTATCTCACAGATGAGAAAGCAGAGGCCAAGGGAAACTTCACACATTTCTGGAGACCACACTGCTTGGTGGTGATGGGGGTGGGACTGAGCCAGGTATCCTGACTCCCTATGGTTCTGCTCACTATTTCCAAAGTGCCTGCCCCTGGGGGGGGCTTTGTCAGGGCCCTGCTCTGACCTCTCTTCCCCTCCATCCCTTCTTACAGAAGGTCCATCAACAGGAATTCTGTGAGATTGCGAATGCCTGCAAAATCCTCTAAGATGTACAGCACGCTGCGGAAGGGGTCAGTCTGTGCGGATCCCAAGCCTCAGCAGGTGAAGAAGATCTTTGAAGCATTGAAAAGAGGCCTCAAGTAAGGCTGGGCTGTGTGTTGCCTCTAAGAAATGCATTCTCCTACCTCTCTCCTGTCTCTTCCTGCGGAAGTGCGGGTGGGTCTGTCTATAAGACGTGACAGGTTAAGTTTCTGGCCATTCATTTAGTCAACATGTAGGTCAGAGTGTGGCGTGTGCTCAGCCCGGTCCTTGGGTGGTGGGAACCTGGCAGTGACTAAGGCAGGAGGACTCTGCTCTTGTAAAGCGTGAAGTACAGAGGAGCAGATTTGATGGCATCAATAAGGAAGCAATACAGTCAAATCATCAATCGGTCATGGAACTTCGCCTGTGCTGAGTGCAATGAAGAAAGGTAACGGGGAGGTGGTACGACGACGGCCTCGGCGGAGAGGATGATCCTGGTATGCACCGAGGAGGTACTGCCAGTGTCTGACGCACAAACAGCCTGAGAAGCCGCTGCCATGCTCACTTCTGGGGGACAGGTGTTGTAGGCAGAAGCAACGGCACGGGCAAAGGCCCCGCAGTGGGAGCCTGCACCATGAGCTCACACATGCAAGAGGTCAGGGCAGTGGGTGTCCCAGCGAGGGACAGACTTGCTCAGAGAGCGACTGATGAGCTGGGCCGAGGCCCACCCAGGAAGAGTGAGTCACTCCACAAAATTTTTTTTTTTTTGAGATGCTCTGTCACCCAGGCTTCAGAGCAGTGGCACAATCTTGGGTCACTGCAACCTCCACCTTGGGGGTTCAAGCAATTCCCCTGTTTCAGCCTCCTAGCTGGGACCATGGGTGCACTCCACCACACCCAGCTGAAATTTTGTATTTTCAGTAGAGACAGGGTTTCACCATGTTGACCTCAAGTAATCTCCTTGCCTTGGCCTCCCAAAGTGCTGGGATTACAGGTGCAAGCCACTGAGCCCAGCCCACACATACTTACTGAGGCATATAGAGTGCCCAGCCAGGGGACAGAAGTAAACTAAACACAGGAAATCCCTACCCCTCCGAGGAGCTGACTCCTAGTGGGGGAGAGACACATGATACAATACAGAACAGAAAGTACAGAGAATGTCTGATGGTGGTAAGGGCTACAGTGGAAAACAGCCATGGTAAGCAGGCGGAGGCAGGGAGGATTCATTTTAAATTGGGTGGTTGGAAGGAAGGCCTTGTTAAGAAGGTGACACTGGAGCACATGCCTGAAGGGGTGAAGGAGTGAGCCATGCAGATAATGGCAAAAGAACATTCCAGGCCAGAGTAGCCACACATGCAAAGGCCCTGGGGTACAGCAAGGAGGCCATCGTGGCTAGAGCCAAAGGAAAAAGGATGAGGTCACAGGGCGATGGGGACCAGATGACAGGGGCCTTTGTGGGCTAAAGAGTGGTTTCTGGAGTGATTTTTTTGCCCAGATACAGTGGTACTTAGACCCTAAATGCTCTCCTACCTGCATCTCTTTTTATAGACAGGGCAGCCCAAAGAGGAACCAGAGTCAATTAAAAGTTTAAACCACCTTAGAATGAAACGGTTTTCAAAATATACATCCTTGGCTGGGTGCAGTGGCTCACCCTGTAATCCCAGGACTTTGGGAGGCTGAGGCAGGTGGATTCCTTGAGCCTAGGAGTTCGAGACCAGCATGGCAACATGGCAAAACCCTGTCTCCACAAAAAATACATAAAATTAGCTGGGCATTGTTGCATGCACCTGTGGTCCCAGCTACTCGGGAGTCTGAAATGAGAGGATTGCCTGAGCCTGGAGGTGGAGGCTGCAGTGAGCTGTGATTGTGCAGAGTGGGGGCTGGGTGTGCATGGAGGGGAGAGGCGTGTTTCCGAAGGGAGCTTCTGTGTCCTTTAAGGACCACATGTTTGAGACTTGTCTGGGGCCAAGGCACCCGCTTCTTCCCAGAGAGCTCGACGCCTCAGTGAGTAGCAGCCTGGCAGAAGCTCTCTCTTCCACATTTGAGGTGATGTCAGTGTAGCCCAGAGAGGGTGAGTGACCTTCCTGGGGTGACTCAGCAAATCTAGCAAGATGGGACTCCTGCCCTGGCCCTCAAATCTAGACCCTTGACTGTGAGGGAAGTGTGCCATGCTGACCTTCCCATGAGCTGGAACCCAGCTTGGGAGGAGTATAACATGGAGGTGAAGACTTTGGGTTCTGAGGCCACTGTGTGCTTTCAAACCTGGGTTCAGCCTCTTTGCTGTGTGACCAGGGCTGGGGTACTCTACCTTCAAGGGTTGGTTTGTCCATCTCTAAAATACGTATACCAGGTTGGGCATGGTAGCTCACGCCTGTAATCCCAGCACTCTGGGAAGCTGAGGCAGACAGATCACCTTAGATCAAGGAGTTTGAGACCAGGCTGGCCAACATGGTGAAACTCTGTCTCTACTAAAAATATAAAAATCAGCCAGGTTTGGTGGCACACACCTGTAGTCCCAGCTGCTCAAGAGGCTGAGACACAAGAATCATTTGAACTTGGGAGGTACAGGTTGCAGTGAGCTGTGACTATACCACTACACTCCAGACTGGGAGAGAGTGGGACCTTGTTTCAAAAGAAAAATAAATAAAATGCATATAACAAGAGTAGGACCTACTTGTGGGCCCAGTGGGGGAATTAACTGGGGACCTCCCTGTAAACCATTTGTTGTGGTACTGGGCACACAGCCTCCAGTGTGAGGGCGTGGGGCTTCCTGGCTGCCTCTGAGCCCCGTATCTGCTCTCCACACAAGGACACTGTCCATCTGGCCTGTTTCCTTTCCCTTTCTTGTTCCTCTTCCGTTGGAAACTTCCTCACCCTCCTTGCAGGGAGCATCTGTGTGTGCAGCAGGCTGAGCTGGACCACCTGTCTGGATGCCACAAGGACACCAGGAGGAATTCGAGGCTGGTGAGACCCCTCTCTTCCCCCAGCCTATGTCATGGTGTGAATCTGTCTGGGAACTAGAGGTTTACGGAGTAGCCTCTTTATGTTGCGCTGAGTTAATTTCACTTTGACGCAGACAGCAGTTCACACCTTTGAGGCCCGCGTTGCACTCTCAGTTCTAGAAGTTGCGCTAAGGTGGGCAGTGTATAGAGGTGCGTTTGTTTTATGTGGTCCTGCTTTATAGACCTCGGCCATCAGGTGATCTGGACGCGGGATGGCTTCTGTGATGCCAGGAAAGTGGGTCAGGTGTTGAATCTTGGGTATGTCGCAGTGGCCTCTGCTGCTGTCCTTGATGAAGCCTGCGTGTTTCTCCAATGTCCAGCTGCCAGGCAGCGTTTCCTGCCATCATCAGGACAGTGTCTTTTTTGTATGTTTGTTTTTTGAGACAGGATTTCCCTTTATCGCCCAGGCTGCAGTGCAGTGGCACAATCTCGGCTCACTGCAACCTCCGTCTCCCGGGTTCAAGCAATCCTCTCATCTCGGCCTCCCAAGTAACTGAGACTACAGGCTTGCACCAGCATGCACAGCTAATTTTTAAATTTTTTGTAGATATGAGGTCCCATCATGTTGCCAAGGCTGGTCTTGAGCTCCTGTGCTCCAGCAATCCTCCCTCGTCGGCCTCCCAAAGTGCTGGGATTACAGGTGTGAGGCACTGCGCTGGCCAAGGCAGTGTCTCTGATGCTGACCCTGGGCCCTCTGTTGCCTAAAGCTCACCTGCTCTTGTTTTTGCTTCTCCCTTAGCAGAGACAGACTTAGCAAAACGCACACACACTTGCAAATAGCATGCCCCATTAAACTATTTTTATGTGGTTTACGGAGTCTCGCTCTGTCGCCCAGGTTCAAGTGCAGTGGCACAATCTCGGTTCACTACAACCTCTGCCTCCTGTGTTCAAGCGATTTTCCTGCCTCAGCCTGAGTGGCTGGGATTATAGGCACGCTTCACCACACCTGGCTAATTTTTGTATTTTTAGTAGAGACAGGGTTTCGCCATGTTGGCTAGTGATGGTCTCCATCTACTGACCTCGTGATCTGCCCACCTTGGCCTCCCAAAGTGTTGGGATGACAGGCGTGAGCCACTGAGCCCAGCATTGTTTTTTTTGGTTTTGTTTTTGAGATGAAGTCTTGCTCTGTTGCCCAGGCTGGAGTGCAGTGGCATGATATTGGCTCACTGCAACCTCCACCTCTCAGGTTCAAGCGATTCTGCTGCCTCAGCCTCCTGAGTAGCTGGGATTACAGGCACATGCCACCGTGCCCAGCTGTGTGGTTTTTGTTTGTTTGTTTGTTTGTTTGTTTTGCATTTTTAGTAGGGACAGGGTTTCACCAGGTTGACCAGGCTGCTCTCAAACTCCTGACCTCAAGTGATCCGCCTGCCTCAGCCTCCCAAAGTGCTGGGATTACAGGCATGAGCCACTGTGCCTGGCCTCTCATTAAATTTGATTTTCAGACACATTACAAATTTGTTTAGTATTAGTGTATCCCATGTAATCTTTGGGACATACGCTAAAATAATTGTTCCTTGTTTACTGAAAATTTTAATTAGGTGTCCTGTATTTTATCTGGTGATACTGAGACTTCCATCTTTCCGGTGGGAAGATCTTCCTTTCATCTGGGAAATCTCTCCACTGCTGTCTTGTGAAAACCCCGCGTGTCCTTAATGAATTAGATTTGGAAACAAAAACAAGGAGGCCTTGCCGCTGTGGGATCCTCCTCCCAGCCAGGGTTTCCCAGAATCCCTCCTCCAAAGCACCAACATGCAGAGCAGGCCACCAGCTTGACTGAGGACCTGGGAAAGTGAGGAGGGGAGATGAATTTTCTACCAAAATAGCATCCAGCGGCCCAGCACGGTGGCTCACGCCTGTAATCTCAGCACTTTGGGAAGTTGAGGCAAGTGGATCACTTGAGATCAGGAGTTTGAGACCAGCCTGGCCAACATGGTGAAACCCCATTTGTACAAAAAATACAAAAATTAACCGGGCATAATGGTGTGCGCCTGTAGTCCAGCTACTCGGGAGGCTGAGGCAGGAGAATAGCTTGAACTCAGGAGGCAGAGGTTGCAGTGAGGTGAGATCACACCCCCACGGCACTCCAGCCTAGGCAGTAGAGCCAGGCTCTGAATGAATGAAAGAAAGAAAGAAAGAAAAAGAAGCAAGCTGTCATCTCTGTATCCTGGCTCCAGCAGAGAAGGCCTCAAGACCGGCAGGGTGGGAGAGGCAGGGGCCCAGCCTGCGTGTGCCAGGGACTTGGGGAGTGAAAGGCCTGCCAAGCTTAGCATGCCTCGCCTTTGGGTGGTTGGTTGGTGACCAGCAGCAGATGGTGGGAGGGAGGAGGTGCTGCCAAGATCTCACCCAGCTCTGGCACCTGCCCCTCTTCTCACACAGGTGCAAGTCTCACCCCGTGGAGTTCCCTTCCCATTCTTTGTTCTCGAGAAGTAACTCCAAAGTAGGCAAGCGTAAAATATGTGTATGTTTTAGCTGCTCCCATGTTATAGATGGGCACACTGAGGCCAGGGCAAGGCGTGCAGAGCCACGCAGCGGGGTGCCTATGTCGGGTCCTGTCCCCATGACCTGTTGCTTCTTATTTAAACATGTTGGTTTTTGAGACATTGCTGGGTAGTCAGTGTTCTTTTCAAAGGCTTGGGATCTTCCCTTTTTGTCTTTTTTTTTCTTTTTCCTCGGGATGGAGTCTCTCACTCTGTCACCCAGGCTGGAGCACAGTAGTGCCATCTCCTTTCACTGCAACCTCCACCTCCCAGGTTCAGGTGATTCTCCTGCCTCAACCTTCTGAGTAGCTGGGATTACCGACACACACAATCATGCCAGGATAATTTTTGTATTTTTTATTTAATAGAGAGGGGGTTTCACCATGTTGGCCAGGCTAGTCTCAAACTCCTGACCTCAGGTAATCCACTCACCTCAGCCTCCCAAAATGCTAGGTTATAGGTGTGAGCCACTGTGCCTGGCCTATTTCTTAATTTTTTAAATGGAGTTTTAATTGTTTCTTAATTTAAAAAATATTTTATTTATTCTTCAAGACACAAGGTCTTACTCTGTCACCCAGGCTGAAGTGCAGTGGTGCGATCACAGCTCACTGTAACCTTGAACTCCTGGGCTCAAGCAGTCCTCCTACCTCAGCCTCTAGAGTAGCCGGGACTACAGGTGTGTTCCACCAGGCCTGGCTAATTTTTAAATTTTTGTAGAGATGGGGTCTTGCTGTGTTGCCCAGGCTGGTCTTGAACTCCTGGGCTCAAATGATCCTCCTGCCTTGTCCTCCCAAATCACTGCTAGGATTACAGGTGTGAGCCACATCACCTGGCTTAAATGGAGTTTTTATTTCATTATCGCACATGTACAATTCCACATATATTCATACATGGGACTTTTTGGAGTTGAATCCTTCTTTCTTGATTGACGCCCTCCTCCACTCAATCTGTGTCCCACCCTGTTTAACCCTTGAGAATGATCTTGTATTGATCTTTCCATAGTTTTCTCTTGTATTGATCTTTCCATAGTTTTCTCTCTGGTCACATAATCACGTAAATGCATTTAGCAGTTTTGAGTTAATGGTTGTCTTACAAAAACGAAATCTCGGCTGGGCTCAGTGGCTTGAGCCTGTAATCTCAGCACTTTGGGAGGCTGAGGCAGGTGGATCGTGAGGTCAGGAGATCAATACCATCCTGGCTAACATGGTGAAACCCCATCTCTACTAAAAATATAAAAATTAGCCAGGCATGGTGGCATGTGCCTGCAATCCCAGCTACTAGGGAGGCTGAGGCAGGAGAATTGCTTGAACCCGGGAGGTGGAGGTTGCAGTGAGCCAAGAATGAACCACTGCACTCCAGCCTGGGCGACAAGAGTGAAACTCCATCTCAAAAAAAAAAAAAAAAAAAAAATAGATGGCGTTTCACCATGTTGGCCAGGCTGGTTTTGAGCCCGCCTCGGCGTCCCAAAGTGCTGGGATTACAGGCGTGAGCCACCGCACCCAGCCAGAAATCTCAATTGACATGCTCTCCTACACCTTCCTTTCTCTCCCTGGTGGATGTCCACGGTAACCCTCCAGGCTCAGATAGAGTGACTTTCATTTCTACTGCCAGTTAACAGCCAGGGGAGATTCGATTGCTATATTTTAAATTTAGAGTCACTTAAAAAACATGTTTTTTTAAACATTTATGTTTGTTAAACATTTGTTTAAAAAAATGTTTCTTGGCCACACTCGTCCATTTACATACTGCCTATGGCTGCTTCCACGCTATGGTGGCAGAGGGGCTTAGTTAGGACAGAACTTCGACCCTGATGGATTTAACCCCACAGGCAGGTGCAGCAGTTCACATGTCTTAGGCCCACTTCCCACTCTTTCTTGATTCTAGAAATAACTTTAAGGTAGGCAAATGAGTGTATGTTTTACTTTTTTTTTTCTTTTTTGAGATGGAGTCTCACCTGTTGCCCGGGCTGAAGTGCAGTGGTGCAATCTTGGCTCACTCCACCTCTCAGGTTCAAGCGATTCTCCTGCCTCAAGCCTCCCGAGTAGCTGGGATTACAGGCACACGCCACCATGCCCAGCTAATTTACGTATTTTCAGTAGAGATGGGGTTTCGCCATGTTGGCCAGGCTGGTCTCAAACTCCTGACATCAAGTGATCTGACCACCTCAGCCTCACGAAGTGTTGGATTACAGGGGTGAGCCACTGTGCCTGGCCGGAATGGTCCTACTTTTTTTTTTTTTTTGAGAGGAAGTCTCACTCTTGTTGCCCAGGCTGGAGTGCAATGGCACCACCTCGACTCACTGCAAACTCCGCCTCCTGGGTTCAAGCAATCCTCCTGCCTCAGCCTCCCGAGTAGCTGGGATTATAGGCACCTGTCATCATCCCTGGCTAATTTTTTGTATTTTTAGTGGAGATGGGTTTCACCATATTGGCCAGGCTGGTCTCGAACCTCTGATGTAAGGTGATCCACCCACCTCAGCCTCCCAAAGTGCTGGGATTACAGGCATGAGTCACCATGCCGGCTAGAATGGTCCTGGTTTATAGATCTTGGCATGGGTGCCCTGGAATGCCAAGCCTCAAATATTTACTGTCTGCCTTTTAGAAAGCCGTGGAAAGGTTTGCCTGCCCTGATGACGTATTATTTGTCTTGGTTGTATACTGGCCCCTGGAATGGATGGACTGAACTGAAGAATTCGCCGTGAAGGCTTGAACTTGTGTGCCATCTGTTCCATCCCCCTCACGTTCTTTTGGTCATGGGTGAAGCCATCCCTTTAATCCCAGTGGTTCCCATTTTGTCAAACACCTACTGTGTCCTTTTTTTCTCCCTAAGAGGTAGGCGCTTCTCCTACCCTGCTTTACATATGAGGAAATGGAGGCCCAGAGAGGTTGAATGTCTTGCCTGGGACACACAGCTGGGAAGTAGAAGAGCCAGACCTAGAACCGCCTCATCCAGCGTGCATGTGTTTAATCACTACCGTCCTTGGCATGGCCAGCCGCCTGCCGTTGGCAGAGGAAGGAGCAGGGGTGGCTGCAGGCATAGCTTCTTGTCCTCTGACTAAGCTCAGGTGCCGCCAGGATAGAGCCTCACAGGCCTTGGGGGAGTATCTGGGACTCTGACACTTTCTTCCACCCTCCTTTCTCCCCCACAGGCTTTCTATTATGACCTGGACAAGGTGAGTCTGCATATGATGAGTGAGGTGGGCTAGGACCGGCTGAATGAGAATGTGTCTCATTGCATCTTCCTGGCTGCCCCATGGGCAGAATCCCTGGGTTTCCTCCCCATTTTAGGAATGGGAAGGCGGAGGCTCTGCGATGAGCCTTCCTGGGGGATGGTGAGGGGCTGGCCTGGCACTAAGCCCCTTTCTCTGCCTTAAGACCTGCAGGAGGGTGGCGGGGCAGGCGGGGCTGGTGGGGTACCCAGGCGACTTTGCAAACATCTTCCCTTTTTCTGGGAGAAGCAAACGCGCTGTGTGGAAAGGCACATTCGGAAGATGGAGTTTCACATCAGCAAGGTCAGCCGGCTCGTGGGTGTTGCAGGGTGTGGGGCGGGGCAGTGCCAGCTTGCTGCCTCAGCTAGGTTAGCAGGAGCTAGGCAGGCACCCTCGGAGCAGGGGTCAGGGCCTCTGGGTGTGGGGAACTGCAGGAGGCTAAGGATGAGCAAGGGCTTCGAGCCAGTTGAAGGACGACGGGCTCAGCCCTGAGGTGGGAGTTGTTGGGAGGCTCAGCCCTGAGGACCCCATGGGTTCTTTCTTCAGTTTTTGGAGAAAGACCTCATGTTCAATCTTAGATATCTGGAAGGTTGAATCCTCCCAGCCCATTGCACAGATGGAAAAGCAGAGGTCCAGAGATAAACATGGGTTTGCCCAAGGTCGTATAGCAGATCCCTTAAGCTTTAGAGTCTGCAGACGGTTTCACAATCCTGCTTTACTCCCCACACTGCCCAGTGGGTGTAGGCAGTCATGAGTCACCTCCCCTGTTCCACGATTGAAAACCCAGGCAGAGGAGGGGAAGGGACAGATTTGCTTTTCCCTTTTACTCATTTTTGCTGTGCACACTGTGTGACAGTTGCTGCCAGGGGCTGGGTATGCAGCAGGTGAGGTGGGGTGGCAGGTGAATCGGGGCAGTCAGAGGAGATAAGTGGGTCCCTGCCTCTGGGGGTTCACGTTCTACCGGGGCCAGCAGGGAGTGCTTTGAGCGGGATTGGGCAGTTGGTGACTGCCGCTATGGGTTGGGGTGGGGTAGGGGGGTGCTTAGCTCAGGGACGCCCTCTCCCAGGGGGAGAAGTAGACAGGCAGGTATAGGGCTGCCCCTCGGTGTGGGCAGCGCCACCAGCCCATGTGCCTGGCACAGGTGGAGGAGCTGTATGAGGACTACTGCATCCAGTGCCGCCTGCGCGACGGTGCCTCCAGCATGCAGCAGGCCTTCACCAGGTGCCCCCCAAGCCGCGCGGCCCGAGAAAGCCTGCAGGAGCTGGGCCGCAGCCTGCTCGAGTGCGCTGAGGTAGGCCGGGCCAAGCTGGGGTGGCCAGTGGGGGCAGCCAGGGCTGGGCCAGCGGGGGTTGGGGGAGGTGCCCTTGGCCCCGAGGAGGCGTCTCTGTCTGCGGCCTCTGTCTGGCTGCAGGGACAGTGAGAGGCCCCTGCGGCCTTGCCCTAGGCAGCCACCTGAGTCACCTCTGGGGCTTTGCAGGACATGTGGCTCATCGAGGGGGCCCTGGAGGTTCACCTGGGCCAGTTCCACATCAGGATGAAAGGTGATAGGGCTGAAGGGGGTGGGCGGAGGCCTTCCTGGAGGCCCTGAGGCTTCTGCTGAGGGGGGAGCTCACCGGAATCCCAGGGGTCTGAGCTAGGCCGTGACTTTTGCATCCATGTGACATGTGATCTCTAGCAAGTCCCACCCCTCTCTGAGCCTGGTGTGAGGGCCCAGCACCCTCCTGTCCATCATCCATCATGACAGTGCCTCCCTGCCCCCTGAACCTGAAAACCTACACTTGGGGGACCCCCAGAGAGGACCTGTGGTCCCGGGTCAGGGACAGTGGAAGGCAGAAGGGAGACTGGCCGTATCTGTGTTCCAGGCTTGGTGGGCTACGCACGCCTCTGTCCCGGAGACCAGTATGAGGTATGGCCACCCTCTGGGGTCAATCCTCAGGGCTCCCTACCAGGTCTTTGGGAGACTGGAGCTGCTGGGAACCAGGGTTGCAGCTGGGGCACTGTCTGGCAGGGAGGGCCCTGGGCAGGCATTGAGGGGACACCCTCCAGGGCTCACACAGCCCCTCTCGGGCTGGTTCACAGGTGCTCCTGCGTCTGGGCCGCCAGCGCTGGAAGCTCAAGGGTCGGATCGAGTCGGATGACAGCCAGATCTGGGACGAAGAGGAGAAGACCTTCATCCCCACGCTGCACGAGAACCTGGACATCAAGGTGAGATGGGGCCGGGGGTGGGGCTGAGGTGCCTGGGTGCTCGGCTCAGACACTACCCTCCAGCCTCCACCCCCAGGTGATGGAGCTGCGGGGCCTGGGCTCGTTGGCTGTGGGCGCAGTGACATGTGACATCGCCGACTTCTTCACGATGTGGCCACAGGTCATCGTGGTAGACATCACGGAGCTGGGCACCATCAAGCTGCAGCTGGAGGTGCAGTGGAAGTGAGTCCTGCCTGGCCCCGGGGGAGGGTGGAGGCCTGGCTGGCTAACCCTGGTGGCCTGGCCACACTTTAGCCCTGGGTTCCTGTACCAGCCTCCACCAAGGGTGTCCCTGCCCTCACGGGTCCTCATCTGTCCCTCAGTCAGCTGGAGGCCTGGACTTTCTCTGCAGCCCCCGCCTGCCTTTCCAGCTTTGCTTCCATTCTTGCTTCGGAACCCCTGGATATTAAAGCCCCAGGGACTCAGATTGGGGGGACACTTTCTGGGGCCTCCTGGACTCGGTTCCTCGGAGGAGGCTCACCTGTCCAGGAAGGCTCTCCTTGCTGCTCCCACCCCCTCATTCCTGGCCTACCCTGGCTGCCTCCAGGCCCAGGGCTGAGCAGTCACCTGCATCCCCATCTCAGCCACAGACATGAGGCCCATGTCCGTGAGCACAGCCCGTGTCGCATGCCCATGAGCATGGTGGGCTCTGGGGCTCTTTGTTCCAGGAAGCCTGGCATCTCCAGGGCATCCCCTTCTTACTCCCCGGCCCAGGAGCAGCAGAAGGGAGGGCCGAGGTGCCTCCTTGGTTCTCTGCTTGCCCTGGCCATTCGGGGCTCTCCTCTCCCTAGGGCGGGCACATGAGTGGGGTCACAGAGCTGCTGCCCTCTCCCCTGTGAGCTGGGAGAATCCGGGTGAGTGACCACCTGCCACCTCACGATCCTCACCTGCCTGGTAGGGCTGAGAATACCTCTTACCCGGGGGGGCCCTGACGCATACAGGGTGGTGGGCAGCTCAGTGCCATCCAAGACTACGACCTAGAAGGCCTGCGGGTCTGCAGATGCTCCGGGCAGAGAAGAAGGCATTTGCAGATTCTCTGAGCTGTAGGCCTTCTGGCTTAGCCAGAAGCCCTACAAGCCAGGCCTTTGTGCAGATAAGAGCAGGTTTCTTCGAGGCAGGAGGGTCTACAGGGACCTACCTGCTCCGAGTGCAGGGCTGGGCGCGGGCTGGGGTGAGCATCACAGGCCGGGCTGCACACCGCTCACCTCGGCACTCCCACACGCTCGCCTGGATTCCCACCCCTCCCTGTGCATGTCCCCACAGGGGTTCTTCTGTAAGGGCACCCCTTTTACAGACAAGGGGTCTGAACCAAGTGTCCCCTGTTCATCGGCTGAGCTTCTCAAAGGAGCCTCTAATTGGGGGTGTCCAGTTATTGGCAGAGGGTCTTGACAATGAGTTGTCCGGGTCCTTGGCATTTTGAACAAAGACCTGAACAAAATGTACAAAAGGAGCAGAGAAAGGAAATGGGAATGAAGCACAGGGCTCCGTTAAAGCGAGAGAGCAGGCTGGACGCGGTGGCTCGCACCTGTGATCCCAGCACTTTGGGCCAGTGGGGGGCAGATCACCTGAGGTCAGGAGTTCAAGACCAGCCTGGCGAACAAGGTGACCTTGTCTCTACTAAAAACACAAAAGTTAGCCAGGCTTGGTGGCGTAGGCCTGTAGTTGCTGCTGCTCTGGAGGCTGAGGCAGGAGAATCCCTTGAACCTGGGAGTAGGAGGCTGCAGGGAGCCCAGACGGTGCTGCTGCACTCCAGCCTGGGCGACAAAGTGAAACTATCTCCAAAAAAAAAGGGAAGCACTCGGCAGGGTGGGATGGGCCCGAGCATGCGGCTCAAGGACCTCATCACCAAGGTTCCTGGGCTTGAAGTACTCTGTTTAAGGTTTCTGTGGGCTACCCCTTATCTGGATGCAGGATTTGGTCTGGGGTTAAAGGCTGAGGTGAGTGGTACCCTGTGCAGATAGAGGGGTGGTCCCTGCTTGGCCAGCAGCCAACCCTAGGTACCCTCCCTTTCCATCTGAGCGGAGGCGGAGGCGGGAGGGCTGTAGGGAGGTCGCCTTGGATCCTTTGCTACTCAGTGTGGGGAGACGGGGTTTTTCCTTTTGGTTAACTTTAGGAAGGTTGTATTAATTGGCCTTAGATTCCCTGTCCCTTCACACCTTGATTCAGCATGAATTGGCCTGGGGTTCCCTGCCTCCAGACCCTACACTCCTGCCTCAGTCACTGTCCGTCGCCATCTGGCTAAGGGCCCCCAGGGTGGTCGGAATCTGAGAAAGGTTTCTTTTTTTCTTCCTTTTTTTTTTTTTTCTTGAAACAGAGCCTTGCTCTGTTGCCTAGACTGGAGTACAATGGTACAATCTTGGCTCACTGCAACCTCCACCTCCAGGGTTCTAGCGATTCTCCTACCTCAGCCTCCTGAGTAGCTGGATTACAGGCACCCACTACCATACCCAGCTAATTTTTTTGTTTTTTTAGTAGAGATGGAGTTTCACCATGTTGGACAGGCTGGTCTCGAACTCCTGACTTTAGGCCATCCAAAGTGCTAGGATTATAGGCCTGAGCCACCATGCCTGGCCTTGAGAAAGGTTCCTAAAGGGGTTAAAGCCATGTGACCTAGAGTTCTAGGCTGCCCCTGTGATCACGGCAAGGCCCTGGCCCTCCCCAGGCCTCCATTCCTGTTTTGTTTTGAGATAGTGTCGCTCCATTGTCCAGACTGGAGAGCAGTGGCATGATCTGGGCTCACTGCAGCCTCCGCCTCCCATGCTCAAGTGCTCCTCCCCCCTCTACCTCCTGAGTAGCTGGGACTACAATCCTGCGTCAGTCGCCACGCCTGGCTAATGCATTTATTTTTTGTAGAGATGGGGGTTTTGCTGGGTTATCCAGGCTGGTCTCGAACTCCTGAGCTCAAGTCTTCCGCCCGCCTTGGCCTCCCGAAGTGTTGGGATTACAGGTGTGAGCCACCGCACCTAGCCCATTTCCTCTTAAATCTGTTAAACACAGTGATGGCTGAAGAGTAAGCATCACTCTTAGTGATCTTTAAGGCTTTGGGGTCAGATAAATCTGTGTGTGAATTCAGTTCTGTCTCACGTGGTTATGACACTGGCCTGAGCAAGTCTCTCATCTCTCAGAGCCTTCCTTTCCTCCCCGTAAGTCATTTTCCAGGCCACAGAGGGTTGTCATGTGGGTGGAAATAAGGATTCGTGTAAAGAGTTTAGTAGAGGCCAGGCTCAGTGCCTTACGGCCTGTAGTCCCAGCACTTTGGGAGGCTGAGGCAGGAGGATTGCTTGAGCCCAGGAGTTCGAGACCAGCCTGGGCAATATGGTGAGACCCTGTCTTTACAAAAAATAAAATAAAAAATTAATCGAGCATGGCAGTGCATGCCTGTGGTCACAGCTACATGGGAGGCTGAGGCAGGAGGATCACTTGAACCCAGGAGTTCAAGGATGCAGTGAGCTGTGATGGCACCATTGCACTCCAGCATGGGCAACACAACAAGACCCTGTCTCAAAAAAGAAAAAAGGTTTAGAGCAGAGCTCCTTGCATCCCATCCACACTGTTGTATTGTAAGATGAAGACAGTCAACCTGTGTAGCCTAAGAGACCCCGGGGCCATCTGGGCCGGAAATGGCCTCTGGGCGCTGATGGCATCCTGGCCTTCTGTTTTGTCCTCCAGCCCATTTGATACTGAGAGCTTCGTGGTGTCACCCAGCCCCACAGGAAAGTTTTCTATGGGCAGCAGGAAGGGCTCCTTGTACAACTGGACACCCCCGAGCACCCCCAGCTTCCGGGAGAGATACTACCTGGTGAGTGAGCCTTCTCTGGGACAGGGCTGCTGTGGTCACCCTGGGATGGGGGCAGCACGCGGGGGGCTGGGCTGGGCAGTCTGGCCCTCTCAGATGTAGCAGGCCTCAGCCCAGCACCCGTTTGGGGTGATCTGGGTGTTTTCCTATGTGCTGTCTTCCTCTGGCAGCCTCCATCCCGGCCTGGGTGCTGGCTGTGGCTGGTTCTTCAGGACATCTTCGACGGGCTCTCAGGATGGTCTTACCACCCCGGCCGTGGCCTTGGCCTTATCCTATCCCTTTAAACCTAATATGTTTCCAGTAGTATTACTTGACAGAGTGCCCAGTAAGACATCTCTTTCTCATCATCTTCGTGGATCAGGGTCCCCTCCTTAGTGCCAACTCCTGTCATCAGGGTCCTTCATATTCTTGCAAAGATAACAATGCCATCTGCCAGCAAGTGTACCAGCCTCTTTGGTTTTTTTTTTTTTTTTTTGAGACAGAGTCTTGCTCTGTCCCCCAGGCTGGAGTACACTGGCATGATCTTGGCTCACTGCAACTTCTGTCTCCCGGGTTCAAGCAATTCTCCTGCCTCAGCCTCTCTAGTAGCTGGGATTATAGGCATGTGCCACCACGCCTGGCTAATTTTTATATTTTTAGTAGAGATGGGGTTTTACCATGTTGGTGAAGCTGGTCTGAAACTCCTGATCTCAGGTGATCTGCCCACCTAGGCCTCCCAAAGTGCTGGGATTACAGGCGTGAGCCACCATGCCCCCCCCCTTTTTTTTTTTTTTGAGATGGAGTTTCGCTTTTGTTGCCCAGGCTGGAGTGCAATGGCATGATCTCAGCTCACTGCAACGTCCACCTCCTGGGTTCAAGCGATTCTCCTGCCTCAGCCTCCCAAGTAGCTGGGATTACAGGCAGATGCCACCATGCCCAGCTAATTTTTGTATTTTTAGTAGAGACGGGGTTTCACCATGTTAGTCAGGCTGGTCTCAAACTTCTGACAACAGGTGATCCACCCACCTCAGCCTCCCAAAGTGCTAGGATTACAGGTGTGAACCACCATGCCCAGCTCTCTCTAGACTTCAACTTCTGTATAGAGAAGTGAGCGTAGCAGCACTGCCCTTACGGGATTGTTGTAAGAGTTAACTGAGTTATGAACATCAACCATTATCATTGTTCCAGCCGATGAGAGGCAAGTAAGGGTTCGTGTCTGTGCACCCAGATTCACACTGTGGCACCGTACTTGCCATCCATGTGGCAACCCCTGAGGACCTCTCCGAGGTTAGGGCAGTGCCACCCCCATGGGGTGTGGAGAGGGTAATGACATAGGATGTGAAGGCCCTGGAGTGGGGCCAGCAGCCTCAGAATGCTTAATGACAGCTGCTGCTGTTTCTATGGTGACAAGCACTGCATATGTGTCAGGCCCTTCATTCATTCATTCACTTCACTCATTCAAAACTAGGCTGGGCGCGGTGGCTCACACCTATAATTTCAGCACTTTGGGAGGCCAAGGTGGGCGGATCATCTGAAGTCAGGAGTTCGAGACCAGCCTGGTCAACATGGTGAAACCCCATCTCTACAAAAATACAAAAATTAGCCAGGCATGGTGGCATCTGCCTGTAATCCCAGGTACTCTGGAGGCTGAAGCAAGAGAATTGCTTGAACCCGGGAGGCTGAGAATGCAGAGAGCTGAGATAGTGCCACTGCACTCCAGCCTGGACAACAGAGCGAGACTGTTTCAAAACAAACAAAAAAATGAAACTATATGTCCCACTGTGCTCCAGGCCAGGAAAAGACTGTGTCCTCACGGAGCTGAAATTCTGCAGGAGAAAGAGATGATAATCAAGATCAGAGAAGTGCACTGCCAGCCTGATAATCAAGATCAGAGAAGTGCACTGCCAGCCTGAGGGGCGTAAGGACTGTGGGGGACAGCAGGAAGGGGCCATTTAAAAAAGGGTGTCAGCCAGGTGCACTGGCTCATGCCTGTAATCCCAGCATTTTGGGAGGCCAAGGCAGGTGGATCACGAGCTCAGGAGATGGAGACCATCCTGGCCAACATGATGAAACTCCGTCTCTACGAAAATACAAAAAATTAGCCAGGGGTGGTGGTGCGCACCTGTCGTCCCAGCTACTGGGGAGGCTGAGGCAGGGGAATGGCTTGAACCCGGGTGGTAGAGGTTCAGTGACAGTGAGCTGAGATCGTGCCACTGCACTCTAGCTTGGTGACACAGCAAGACACCATCTCAAAAAAATAAAGGGGGTGTCCAGGGCAGGGTTCTCAGGAGAGGTGACAGCTAAGTAAGGTCCTGAGGAGGTGAGGCCACAAGCCGTGAAGCCACATGGGGAAGCGTGTTCTTGAGAGCACAGTTAGTGCAAAGGCCCTGAGGCAGGAATAGGGGGCTCAGCCCACAGGGTGTGAGCAACAACCAGGAGGCCATCGAGCCTGGGGGGAGCGAGTTGGAGGCGGGGATGGGGGAGAATTGCAGAGAGGGGACGAGGTCTCATTCGCAGCTCTGGGATGCTCGTCGCCTTGGCGACCTCGGTCCTCCTGAGAATGTGGGTATGCAGAGCGGTGTCTGTCAGGGGAAACCCCTCTTGGGGCCTGGCTGTGGTCCATGGGGTGGCTGGTGAGGCCGCGCCTATGTCCCCTCTCCAGTCTGTCCTACAGCAGCCAACGCAGCAGGCGTTGCTACTGGGTGGCCCCAGGGCTACCCCAATCCTCAGCTACCTGTCTGACAGCGACCTTCGGGGTCCCAGCCTGAGAAGCCAGAGTGAGGAGCTGCCTGAGATGGACTCCTTCAGCTCTGAGGACCCCCGAGACACAGAGACCAGTACGTCAGCGTCCACATCCGATGTGGGCTTCCTGCCCCTGGCCATCAGCCCCCACGCCTCCACTGAAGAGGAGGCCCGGGAGGAACCCCCGTCCCCAGGTGTCTTGCCACAGATGGCCCACTTCTCAGGAGGCCCATTTGCAGAGCAGCCCGGCTGGAGGCACCTAGGAGTGGAGAGCCCCAGCCTGCCACGGGGCTCCCCATTCCCCAATGGCACAGCCCCAAGCAGCCAGAAAGGCCATGAGGAAGGGGCAACCGGGGACAGAGAGGACAGGCCTGGCTTGGTCCTTGAGGGGCCTCTGCAGGAGGTCCTGGAGTTGCTGAGGCCCACAGACTCTACCCAGCCCCAGCTCCGGGAGCTGGAGTACCAGGTCTTGGGCTTCCGAGATCGGCTGAAGGTATGTCCACCCTGCCTTGGGCAGTGCCCTTACTTTGCTGACAGTGTGATGACTGGGAGTGGGCTCTGGGGCCAGGCAGCCTGAACCGGCATCCTGGCCTCACCCCTGCATGACCTGGGTGAGCCATGGCTCTCTGGGTCTCGGTTTCCTCATTTGACAAGTGGGGATAACAACAGCCTTCATGGGACTTGGGAAGATTCTAAGAGCTCGCAGTGGATAGCTTGCTGCACATCCAGCCAGAACCTAGCCCCATCCAAACCCAAACTTGGAGTGTCGTCACGGTCAGAGCTGGCTTTGTGGAACGCCCCGCATAGTTCCCTGTCTGCCTCATCCGTGTACCCCGAACCCAACCTTCTCCTCCATAGGGCACATATCCCGGGCCATTCTTAGTTCACACGAGGGTGTAGGTGCCAGGTGGCCTTCAGAGGTGCTGACCTGGGAAAATTATTATATTCTCCTTTTATGTGTACACAAATTTGAATGTACATAAAATGTGTACCACTAGTACCTACTAATACATCAATTAACTGTTGTCCTTCCCTGGACATCCTCTTTTCTTTTTATTTTTTGAGATGGAGTCTCGCTCTGTCGCCCAAGCTAGAATGCAGTGGCACAATCTTGGTTCACTGCAAACTCCTCCTCCCAGGTTCAAGTGATTCTCCTGTCTCAGCCTCCTGAGTAGCTGGGATTAAGGCACACACCACCATGCCCAGCTAGTTTTCATATTTTTAGTAGAGATGGGGTTTTGCCATGTTGGCCAGGCTGGTCTCGAACTCCTGACCTCAAATGATCCACCCGCTTCAGCCTCACAAAGTGCCAGAATTACAGGCATGAGCCACTGCACCTGGCCTGGACACCCTCTTTCAAATGGCAACCCCCACCTGGCCCCGGCAGCCCCATCCCTTCCTGCTCTGTTCCCCATGGTCATGACGCACCTCAGGCTGGCTGTGTGCCTCTCCGATTTTGCTGTTTTCTGTTTTCCCTTCTTTTGTGTAAGACACACATTGGCACTGAAATAGTTAATAGCTCTCTTCAAACTCGAGCTCTACCTGTTTTATCACCACCCACACTTCCAACGGGACAAGTCAGTCCAGGGGAAAACAAGTTTCATTTTACATCCATAAGTTAAAATGTTCCCTTTACCATTGCTACGGTTGTTAAAAAGGATCTGCCTGAAAATTTCCAGAAAACAATTTAAGAAATAATGTCATCTTTTTGGTATTTTATGTTTTTCATTTCTTTTTTGAGACGGTCTCACTCTGTTGCCCAGGCTGGAGTACAGTGGTGCGATCTTGGCTCACTGCAACCTCTGCATCCTGGGCTCACACCATCCTCCCATCTTAGCCTCCTGAGTAGCTGAGATCACAGGCATACATCACCATGCCTGGTTAATTTTGTTTATTATATTTTATTTATTTATTTTTTGAGACGGAGTTTCGCTGTTGTTACCCAGACTGAAGTGCAATGGCACGATCTCAGCTCACCGCAACCTCCACCTTCTGGGTTCAAGCAATTCTCCTGCCATGGCCTCCCGAGTAGCTGGGACTACAGGCGTGCACCACCATGCCCAGCTGATCTTTGTATTTTTAGTAGAGACGGGGTTTCACCTCATTTATCAGGATGGTCTCAATCTCTTGACCTCGTGATCCACCCGCCTCGGCCTCCCAAAGTGCTGGGATTATAGGCGTGAGCCACCGCGCCTGGCCAATTTTGTTTATTTGTTTATTTTTTGTAGAGATAGGGTCTCACTTTGTTGCCCCGGCTGGTCTCAACCTCCTGGACTCATGGGATCCTCCTGCCTCAGCCTCTGAAGCATTGGGATTACAGGCGTGAGCCACTGTGCCTGTACCTTTTTGTACTTTTTAACAGCATTTATTTTGTAGACCAATTTGAGTCATGCACATTGTCACATATTTGCATTTTGAAAAATTACCCCCAATTTATATTAAAATGTTAGTGTTGCAATAATGTAATCATTTTAAACATCTTTGAGGAACTTTTCTTTTTTTGGTAAATGAAGTCATAACAATGCAAATTGATTACAGACCATGGTTTTTAATTTGACTTTCTGGAGAGAAATTACACACACATTTATGCACAACTATGTGTGTATGAATACCTGTGTGATGCTGGGCACAGTGGCTCACACCTGTAATCCTCGCACTTTGGGAGGTCAAGGAAGGTGGATTGCTTGAGGCTAGGAGTTCAACAGCAGCCTGGCCAACATGACAAAACCCCATCTCTACTCAAAATACAAAAAACTTAGTCAAGCGTGGTAGCATGTGCCTGTAGTCCCAGCTACTTGGGAGGCTGAGGCAGGAGAATCACTTGAGCCCTGCTGCTCACTCACTCCTGCCATCGGCCCTGTCCCCGTGGGTGTTTGAGATACAGGGAGGCGGAGGTTGCAGTGAGCTGAGATCACACCGGTGCACTCCAGCCTGGGCGACAGAACAAGACTCAAAAAAAAAAATTCACGTGTGTGAGTGCACACACACACACACACACATACAAGTTTATCCTCATTATTCAGGATTCTTTATTTTGGAATTCACCTACTTGCTAAAATTTATTTCTAATCCCCAAATCAATACTTGAGGCGATTCCAAAGTCATTTTTGGAGCCGTGCAGAGGATAGAAAATCTGAGCTGCTTGAAGCGCACATTCCCAGCTGAGGTGGAGCAAGGCATGCTCTGCCTTCTCGTTTCAGCGCTCAGACTGTGAACAGGTGTCCTCATGATCTATTTCGTGCCATGGTTTTCAGGTTTTTGTGCTTCTTGTTGATGGTGTCACTGTGTAAATGCCTCGCAAGCCCAGAGCTTCAGTACCGGCTGCTGTTCCTCAGTCCAGGAAGCATGAAGCGCCATGGGGAGAAAATGCATGTTAGACAATCTTCTTCAGGCACGACTTGTAGCCATGTTGAGTTCAATGTTAATATAGCAACAATAGCCTTTTTTCTTTTTTTTGAGATGGAGTCTGTTGCCCAGGCTGGAGCACAGTGGCACAATCTTGGTTCACTGCAACCTCTGCCCACATTCTCAGGATGACTGAGGTGTGCCAAGGCAACCAGTATCCTATCCCCTCTCTGCACTTACCTCCAGCCCTGCCGCCAACTCACTCGCCCCAGCTTTGGCAACCTCCTGGCTTTTGCTCATGCCCTGTGGGCTGGGCCCCACGTTCCTGCCTCTGCCTCCGATCCTCCCATCTCCCATCAAGCGATTCTCCTGCCTCAGCCTCCTGAGTAGCTGAGACTACAGGCCTGTGCCACCACACCCAGCTGATGTTTATTTTTAGTAGAGATGGGGTTTCATCATGTTGGTCAGGCTGGTCTCGAACTCCTGACCTCAGGTGATCCACCCGCCTTGGCCTCTGGAACACAACTACCTTAAATATCGAGAATCAATAGCCTGTATGCATGTGTATTGACACGCACATACACAGATAGGTACGCATATATTTTTGTATCAGAAAATGTGATCTCTGCAGCTAGTTATTCCCTTGGTCCTCAAAATGTTCTCTTTGGGCCCAGGGTCCTGGTTTTGCCTTGGGGCCTGTGCCTTTTGTGTTAGACAAGGCCTGGGTGGGTGCGTGGGGAACGGGGGCAGGAACCGGCCCTGGAGTCAGCCATGAGTTGGGGACAGGACAGAAATCTCCAGGGAGGGAGCTGCCACTGGAGGCTCTGGTGACTTGAACAGTGGTGGGGCAGGGGCTCCAGCGCACTCCCTTCATCTGTTGGAGAGAGAAGCCTAACAGGGAGGAGAAGCCTGGAGTCCACAGGCTGACCTGGCGGCTTTTGAATCTGGTGAAGAGGCATTTGCCTGACCTACACCATGTATTTAAAATACTTTGGAATTTGTTGCTATTTCAAAACTGGGCAGTTTACCATAAAAATCCATATTTTAGGGTTTTTCTTATAACACAGGGCAATCTGGCCCCAAGGCCCCCCATTTCTAAGTGGCAGGAGCCCCTGGAATGAGCACGGCCCCCTCTTCGGGGAAGCAGCTGTGGGCTGCTCCCCCCACCCCAGGGCATGGTCCCTGCTGGGGCCGCTCACTCACTCCTGCCATTGGCCCTGTCCCCGCGGGTGTGTGGGAGGATTTTCAGGTCTGTCTGCCTCCAGATTCTGTTCCTACCTTGTCACAGGCCATTCAGGAGGGGCCTTAGGGAGTGCCACATCTGGTGCCATGCCTTGGGTCAGCAGCTGGGCTTGTGCTGGGGGACGGTGGGTGGGACTGGGGCTAGGAACAGGACACTGCCCAGGTCTGCAGTGAGGCTCCTGGCCAGTGCCCCAGTCAGGTGGGTGGGGCCCGGCGCTGCCCTCAGGTCTGGCCACTCTGTCCACAGCCCTGCAGAGCAAGGCAGGAGCACGCCTCAACCGAAAGCCTGATGGAGTACATCCTGGAGAGCTTTGCCTTCCTCAATGTTGACTTCACCCCAGATGAGCTATCCCTGTTTGGGGGCTCCCAGGCTCCCCGGTGAGTGCACCTGCTTCCAGCAGTGACCCAGTGGCCAGCACTCCCTCTGTGTGACCTGAGCACCATGCTTCCTGCCAGCCTCCTGGTCTGTTTCTCCCACTGTCCTCGGCTCAGCTCTTGTCACTCTGTCATGCTCCGGCCATCCCCGCACAGCCCCCACATGGCTCGAGCCAGTCCTCGCTGACCACAAAGTGGGTGAGATCACCCCAGCCTGGCCCTGAGCCTTCTGCTCCAAGGAATCAGCTTTTACTATCATTTTTAAACCTTAAAAAACAACCACCGAGTATATGGTAGAAGTACTTTGGGGCCGGGCGTGGTGGCTCATGCCTGTAATCCCAGCACTTTTGGAAGTTGAGGTGGGTGGATCACCTGAGGTCAGGAATTCAAGACCAAAGACTAGCCTGGCCAACATGGTGAAACTCCGTCTCTACTAAAAATACCAAAAAATTAGCTGGGTGTGATGGCGCATGCCTGTAATCCCAGCTACTAGGGAGGCTGAGGCAGGAGAATTGCTTGAACCCGGGAGGTAGAGGTTGCAGTGAGCCGAGATCGTACCACTGCACTTCAGCCTGGGCAACAGTGAGACTCTGTCTCAAAACAGCAACAACAAAAGTTCTTTGTCCTCTGCTCAAGATGCAGCAGCACCCAGCACCCACTGCTCTGTTCCCTCTGTCCCAATGCAGGGCCCACACCTCCCATGACAGCTTCCCTCGAGGCCACGCAGGCTCCCCTGCCCCAGCTGCGAAGGGCTTCTGCATCCATGTCTCCCCACACAGAACAGCAGAGGCTAAATTCCTTCTCACCTATCCATGGGGTGGGCGTGGTGTTTCATGCCACACTTGCTTCCGCCCTTCCTGAGTGGCTGTGAGGGGGTTGGGCCGCAGGTCCAGCCTCTACCATGGAGCAGGCTAGGTGTAAGCAGCTCTTGCCACTGTATCTCACGTACCCCTCACGGCCTTGATTGTGGGGTTCCTGTCCCCCCTGACAGATGAGTCAATTGAGGCTTGGGGAGGCAGACTTGTCATAGAGCTGGGATTAGTTGGAATGGTCTTCTACATCCACGAGACATCCTGGAAGACGACTGCCCGCCCTGCCTTCCCCAGGCCCTGGGCCACACCCGCAGCTCTGTTTCCAGTTGCTGCTGCCCTCTGCTCCTTTCTCCTTCCTCCCAGTTATCCCCTCAGTGGAACTCACTGGGACCTGGATGGGCCTCCCTGACCCAGAGTGCTCGGGCAAGGGAGGGTTCCCCCCATCCTCAGAGGGAGCTGATCTGCTAACTGGAATGGTCACCTAGTTCTCAATTCAACTCAGAAGGGACCAGCCCCTGCCCCCACCACCATCGCTGAAAGCGTCATCCAGGGAACTCACAGCTGGCGCCCCAGAGCTGGACGTGCTGCTGACGGTACACCTCCGAGTCTGCAAGGCTCTGCTGCAGGTGGCTGGGCTGGGGGACTTGTCAGGGAGGGCAGACAGGGGTTGGCAGTCTCTTTGCAAAGGGCTCATCTTGAAGGTGGTGGGATGCATGGTAAGGGGTGACAGACCAGCCTCCTGGGAGCCAATGAGACAGGCTGTTTCCGAGTGGAAGATGTGGACAAGGTCTGGGTGAATGCTCACGTGGCTCTTACGCAGCCCAAGCCTTGAACCAGAGGCTGTGGTGATGGCTCTTTCATTTATAGATGCCAGAACCCTAATGCAAACTGGCTCAGCCAAGAGGAAAATGTATTGGCCCATGGTAATGAAAGGCTCAGATGTAGGCTTCCGGCCTGGCTGGATCCAGGGGTTCAAATGCTATCAGGACTATGTATCTCTCTTCTCTGTTCTGTTTTGCAACGTGGGTTGGCTTCACTTTCAGGCAGGTTGGTTCTTCTGGGGGCAAAGGTGGTCCCTGGCAGCTCAGCCTGTATCCATCAGCTCAGCCACCTTGGTGAAAGGGGAATCCCCAGATGACAGTCAGGGAGCTGCCCCTGGAACAGAAGGGATGGGCACAAACAGATGGGAGCCACAGCCCTAATGGCTGACCTCAGCGGGCATGTTCCATGCTAACCTGGAGCATCGTGGGCTGCTTCCCAGAAACTGGCCTCCCCTGATTTATCAAGGCTGGTCCAGGAATGCCTCCTGGAAGAAGTGGCACAGCAAAAGCACGTTCTGGAGACACTTTCTGTCCTTGACTTTGAGAAGGTCGGCAAGGCAACATCCATCGAAGAGAGTAAGGAGCTGCCTACCACCCAGGGGCTGCCTGTGTGAATAGCATGGGGATGGGTCAAAGCTCGGGGAGGCTCTTCTCCCTTCCTGATAGCCAGAGTTAACCGGAGCCCAGTGTGGAGGCTGTGGCTGGCTGCCTGGGAGAGACACAGGCTTTGGGGCAAGGTGGGGTGGGGGGCAATTCTTGGAGTTGCAGGATACACTCTTCAGCCAGCTGTGTGACTCTACACAAATGGTTCACCTCTCTGTGCCTCCACTTCCCTATGTAAGGGGAGGGCACTGCACAGGGTTCGGGGAGGGCACTGCACAGGGTTCAGTGAGGTAACCCCAGGCCATATTCAAGGTACAGAATGCGCACTCAGAGTAGCTGATCCCAGCTGCGCCTCTGCCCTGTGGGACGTCTACTCAAAGAAGGCCAGGTTCCTTATCTGTAGAGAGGCTGGTGACAGCCCCTCCGGGTTGTTGTGGGGACTGCAGGTGGTGGCCCTGGTTAGATGTTTAAGGCCAGTGCAGAGAAGGGACCCTGCGTCAAGCCCACACCACCCCCTCCTCCCTGCCCTCTCAGGTCCCAGTGGAGGGAAACCTTTGGGGTCCTTGTCACGTGCTCTCCCCAACCTGCCACTCAGGTTTCTGAACTGGGGCTTTCAGTCATTCCACAGGCCTCGCGGAGGAAGGGGTGCCTGAAGCTGTGGAGAGGGTGCACGGGGCCTGGTCGGGTCCTGTCCTGCCCTGCTGTGACGCTGCTGAACCAGCTCAAGAAGACCTTCCTGCACAGAGTCAGAGGGAAATACCCGGGCCAGCTGGAAATAGGTGGGCTCCCGCCTGTGCTGTCCATTCCCTCCCATAGAAAGGCTATGGTGAGTCTCCAGGGCCTTCAGGGTGGCCTCAGCTGGCTCATTTCAGCCTGTCTTCACCTCTGTCTTCATGACATTGAAAGGAGGTTTTTCAGCTTGAGTGCAAGTCCCTGTCTTTCACTGAGCGAGAAATGGGCCTCCACCTGGGACCTTCTGAGCAGTGTGTGGAGCTCTGAGGCTGCGTGCAAACCTTGGTAGGGCGGTGCATTTTTCTGGAGACAGATTCCATGCCTTCCACCAGAGCCTTACAGGAAGAATGAACCTCACGGGAAGGGAGGCAGGCCAGGCGCCCCTGAGGGCATCTAGAAATGTTGGCTGCACTGCATTCTTTCCCAGAATGCAGAGCTCCACTACTCTTCTCTGTGGAGCATGTGAAAGGGGACAGTCATGTTCCACGTGCCACCTGGGCTGCCTGTTGACATGCCTATTCCCAGATCCTGCCTCTGGGATTTAGATTCAGGTGCAGTGGGGCCTGGGCACAGGGATGAATCCAAGACGGTCTGACTCAGGGTGCATCGGAGTCACAGTCCTGACTCCAGCTGGGCACACTTCTCCCTCATAACACAGGGAGCTCAGTAAGCGACACCTGCCCTCGTGCCATCAGAAAGCCTTTTATTTTTTTGAGTTGCTCTTGTTGCCCAGGCTCAAGTGCAATGGCGCAATCTTGGCTCACTGCAACCTCCACATCCCAGGTTCAAGCGACTCTCCTGCCTCACCCTCCCGAGTAGCTGGGATTACAGGCGTGCACCACCATGCCCGGCTAATTTTGTATTTTTAGTAGAGATGGGGTTTCACCATGTTGGCCAGGCTGGTCTCAAACCCACCCTCAGCTGACCCCACTTGCCTTGGCCTCCCAAAGTGCTGGGATTACAGGTGTGAGCCACCGTCCCTGGCCCAGAAAACCGTTTAGCCGAGCAGGCTACTCCCAGCTGAGAAGCGTGGAGGGCTGAGGTCTCAGTTTCTCCTGATGTGCTCTCTCCTTTGGCCAGTGTGCCGCAGGCTCCTGGAGCAGGTGGTCAGCTGTGGTGGGCTGCTCCCTGGAGCTGGGCTCCCTGAAGACCAGACCATCACCTGGTTCCAGTTTCACAGCTACCTGCAGAGGCAGAGTGTCTCTGACCTGGAGAAGCATTTCACCCAGCTCACCAAGGAAGGTAAGGCTGGGGTAGGTGGCTGTCAGAGCAGAAGAATATCCGGAGCTCTGTCACATCCAGACAGCTTCTCAGGTTACAATTCAGGACCATGACATCTGTCCCTGCCAGTTGTTCTTTTGGGAACCCTGATTTAATGACATTCTGCATTCAGCTAATAGGGGGTGATATTAGCTCCAAGGGAAGTCAGCTTTAAAAAACACGGAACAGAGATCAGAGCTGGGTGGGAGGGTGATCTCGGCTGGCCAGAGTGCCTGGAAGCATGGGCTGTGGTTTTGTTAATTTTTGCAGAGTATTGATCCTTTGTTAAAAGGCATTCCTGGAGATTCCAGGAGCTCCCTGTGAAACTAGTCCAGACTGGGCCTCAGTGCCCATCCTGCTGGCTCTGGGATTTGTTCTTCTGTGGCTAATGGCAGCAGCAGCCAAGCAGACCTGCAGCTGTTCTACTGCACTCCCACTCAGGCCCAGGCCACCTCTTTCCTGTCTTCTAGTGACACTCATCGAGGAGCTCCACTGCACGGGCCAGGCCAAAGCAGTCCGGAAGCTACAGGGGAAGCGGCTGGGCCAGCTCCAGCCCCTGCCCCAGACCTTAACAGCCTGGGCGCTGCTCCAGCTGGACGGCACTCCGAGGGTGTGCAGGGTGGCCAGCGCTCGCCTGGCGGGTGCAGTCAGGAACAGAAGCTTCCGGGAAAAGGTACGTTGTCCAGCGCAGGTGGCAGGCCCTAGCTGCAGATGTGTGAGCCCAGATAAGCAGGTGTTCTCATGGAAAAGTCCAAAGCAGCATGTGCCAGGGGGCTGCAGTGGCATTGGCTGTGAGCTATTTTGAAGGGACCTGGGCTGCCACTTGAGTCACACACATGAATGCACCTAAGCCTATCCCCTTGCTGCTTCCAAAGCAACACACCTGTTAGGCCTTTAAGTGTCACTTGGACATTGAATGTTGTTCTTAGTGTTTTGATAGTCATTCTTCTTTACTTCCAACTAATATTTGAGGCTACCTGGTAATGGGTCATTGTGTTCAGTACATTTGAAAAACAAGAGAATGAACCCCTCTGCCTTTCACTCTCGGCCTGTGACTACTGTATGGTTAAGGTGCCACACCCTCAGAGGTGCAGGAAGGGTGACATCAAGGGCATAGTCAACAGTGCTGGTTTCAGTTCTAGACTGGAGAGGAAATCTCCAGTTCTGTTGCCAGCAGTCCTCCTTGGAGCCCATCTGCCTACTTTGTGGGTTTTTTTTTTGAGATGGAGTCTTGCTCTGTCACCCAGGCTGGAGTGCAGTGGTGCAACCTCAGCTCACTGCAACCTCTGCCTCCTGGGTTTAAGCAATTCTCTGCTTCAGCCTCCTGAGCAGCTGGGATTACACAGGCACCCACCACCACACCCTGCTAATTTTTTGTATTTTTAGTAGAGATGAGGTTTCACCATATTGGCCAGGCTGTGAACTCCTGACCTGTGATCCACCTGCGTCAGCCTCCCAAAGTGCTGGGATTACAGGGGTGAGCCAGTGCACCCGGACATTTTGTGGTGATTTTTACCTCTTTATTTGTAGTCTTTTGAACATGTGAAAGTAGACACAGCAATACAATAAATCCATCTGCCCTCCTCAGCCAAGCCTAACCACCATCAAACCATAGCCAATCCTGCCCCTTCTTCCTTCACTCCCCTCTATCACTATGAAGCATCCTAAAGGATCATATTTGACTTTAAATAGTTAACTATATGTGTCAACAGGTTAAGAATTCTTTCGGCCGGGCACAGTGGCTCACACCTGTAATCCCAGCACTTTGGGAGGCCGAGGCGGGTGGATCAATGAGGTCAGGAGTTCAAGACCAGCCTGGCCAAGATGGTGAAACCTCATCTCTATGAAAAATACAAAAAACTAGCCACACGTGGTGGTGGGCACATGTAATCCTAGATACTTGGGAGGCTGAAGCAGAGAATTACCTGAACCTGGGAGGCGGAGGTTGCAGTGAATGGAGATTGCACCACTGCAATCCAGCCTGGGTGACAGAGTGAGACTCTCTCCAAAAAAAGTCTTTCAAAAATCAGAACTATAATACCATTATCATATCTAAAAAATTCACCATGAATTCCTTTATATCATACTCCTAAATTCCCAAGCCTCAAGTATCCCGTTTTGTTTTTGTTAAACTAGAATCTACATAAGGACATGCATTGTGACTAGCTGATGGCTTTTAACTTCTCTTTAATCTCCAGGTTCCATTTCTTTCTCTGCTTGCAGTTAATTTCTTGACGATCCCAGGTTGTCCTGGAATAGCTAGACTTTGCTGCTTGCAGGATGTAATGTGATGCATTTATCTTGTCTTCCGTAGTCCTGAAAGCTAGTAGCTGGGATTCAAGCATCCACTCAAGTCAGGGGTATTTTTCTGGGGGGGTGGTTTAGGGGTACATGGGTATCTTTTCATACTATAAACAAGGCCTCCATGGCCGGGTGGATCACTTGAGGTCAGGAGTTTGACACCAGCCTAGCCAACATGGTGAAACCCCATCTCTACCAAAAGTACAAAAACATTAGCCAAGAGTGGCAGTGCATGCCAGTGGGCAGTATTCCCAGCTTGGGAGGCTGAGGCATGAGAACTGCTTGAACCTGGGAAGCCGAGGTTGCAGTGAGCTGAGATCGTGCTACTGCACCTCAGCCTGGGCGACAAAGTGAGACTCTATCCAACAACAACCCAAAAACCTTCATTTTCATGTGACAAACTTTAGAGAGCAGGAAACACTGAGGCGGGAGCCAGAGTCACCCCAGTGACAGATTGCTCAGCCTCAGATGGGGGAGCTGAGGAGGGAGAGGGCTACCTTCCACACTGATGTGTCCTGACAGTCCTCACCAATGCCATGTAGGAAGGAGCAGGAGGGCCCCAATCCTACTCCGTCTCCCTGTCTTCCCAAAGCAGCAGACACTTCGGAGAGCCACCTGCAGAGGGAAAGGTGGCCATTCTGGTTTGGCTCTGGGCCCTGGAGCCAACTCAGCGCCTGGGCCCTCCTTGGCCCCACTCATGCAGTTGAAGGCACAGCCACTTGACTGAGTGAGCGCAAAACTCCTGGGCTTCCCTTTGCAGCCACAGAAGCTGGACTGTGCTGCGGGCGGGACATGAACCCATGTGCTTCCTGACGAACTCTACAGCAATGCATGAAGCAAGTGCCGACTTTGTTTTCAGTGGAGTCGTTAGGCCCAAAGAGATGAACTGAGGTGGCCACGGTCATGGACTGAAGGGGGCAGGGTCACTGCTGTGACTGGAAGGGGGCGCTGAGAACAGGCACGTTTCCATCTGGCTCAGGGCAGCAGCCTTGCCCCTTTTCAGTTGAGGAGGACAATGCCCTCGGTATCATCAGTTCTTCTGTGGTTCTGAGCTGGGCATCTTTCTCTGATTCAGCATTTTAGACAGCAGTTTCAGAATGCACTTCCAGAATATTAGACAAAAAGAGCTTTCTCCACTGTAGTAGCCCTGGGATCAGTTTTTAGGAATAAACCCCACAGCACAGATCTTGTGACTGTGGACACCTGGCCCAAAGATGGAGAGATCATGACCTGAATGTTGTTTAGAGAAGGGCGGGCACTGCATGCCTTACTGTCGGCACCTGGTGGCTGACGGACCCTGGAACCATGGACTCTGCTTCTGCTCACCCCTCCATTCACAGCCTCCTCCTCTCCCCAGGCTCTGCTCTTCTACACAAATGCCCTGACAGAGAACGACGCAAGGCTTCAGCAGGCTGCATGCCTGGCGCTCAAACAGCTCAAGGTGAGCCTGGTGCTTCCCCACTAGTGGCTGACAGAGAAGCCTGCTGGTGGTTAGGGTTAGTTAACTTCAAAATGATTCCACTGGGCTGGGTGCAATGGCTCACGCCTGTAATCCAAGCACTTTGGGAGGCCGAGGCGGGCGGATCACCTGAAGTCAGGAGTTCGAGACCAGCCTGGCCCACATGGGGAATCCCTATCTCTACTAATAATACAAAAAAAACCCCACTAGGTATGGTGGCACATGCCTGTAGTCCCAGCTACTCGAGACTTGAACCCAGGAGGCAGAGGCTACAGTGAGCCAAGATCACATCACTGCACTCCAGCCTGGGCAACAGAATGAAACTGTGTCTCTGAAAATGAAAAAAAAATTCCACTGGGACCAGAAATGGCTCCAGTACCAGAGACTCTGACAGCAATACTTAGTGGGCATTTGCTGTGGCTCTAGGTGAATATGCAGGCGGCCCCAGAAACTCACTTTGAGCTCTGAATTACATGTTTTTAAATTCTCAGTTAAAAATCTTTTAAAGGGCCGATGCAGTGGCTCACACCTGTAATCCCAGCACTTTGGGAGGCCGAGGCAGGCAGATCACGAGATCAGGAGATCAAGACTGTCCTAGTTAACATGGTGAAACCAGTCTTTACTAAAAATACAAAAATTAGCTGGGCATGGCGGCGGGCACCTGTAATCCCAGCTACTCGGGAGACTGAGGCAGGAGAATCGCTTGAACCCAGGAGGCGGAGGTTGCAGTGAGCAGAGATTGCATCACTGCACTCCAGCCTGGACAACGGACTGAGACTGTCTCAAAAAAAAAAACAAAACAAAACAAAAAAAAACTTTTAAAGAACAATCAGCTCATTTGTGTGTGTGTGTGTATAAAAGTATAAAATATAGAAAATATAGAGACAGAAAAGTAAGTTATCCATCATCCTAGCAGCAAGTAGCAGAAACAACTGTTGACATTTTGGTATGCTTCTGTTAAAAGTTTGTGGGTGTGTGTGAGCATTTAAAATTGTTGATCCAAACACAGTTTAAAAGCAGTCAACAAAATAACATTTTGTGTTAGACTGGCAGCACTTTAGAATTTTTTTTTTTTTTTGAGACGGGAGTCTCGCTCTGTCACCCAGGCTGTAGTGCAGTGGTGCAATCTCCGCTCACTGCAGCCTCTGCCTCCCTGGTTCAAGTGATTCTCCTGCCGCAGCCTCCTGAGTAGCTGGGATTACAGACACATACCACCACCCCCAGCTAATTTTTGTATTTTTAGTAGAGGCAGGGTTTCACGATGTTGGCCAGGATGATCTCGATCTTCTGACCTTGTGATCTGCCTGCCTCAGTATCCCAAATGCTGGGAGGTGTGAGCCACCATGCCTGACTCCTCTTTTATGTCTTGTCTTTTTCCACTTTAGAATTCTTTATGAAGGGGCTATCAAGTGTATACCTTAATTTAACCTACTTACCCACTGTCATAGGAAATAGTTTTTTCATCCTAAATAATGTCATTATCTTCATGTTTGTGCATAAAGCTTTAAAAAGCCATGGAGTTCTGAATTATTTCCTCAGGCTAGATCCAATCCTAGAGCCAGAGAATGAGCATTTTTGAGACTCTTGATATAACCCACACACAAATCCCACGAATGTGAGGGGATTTCTGCTTTCCCTCAGCCTCACCTGCATTTGGAGTTGCCAGTTGCTATATGAAAGACAGTTCCATACAGATTAAACTCACTCGTCCCATTCATTATGGGATGAATCAACAGGAAATTCTGAGAGAAGCTGGCTAAGATCAGAAAACCAGCAAGGGCCGGGTGTCCAGCAGAGGGCGCTGCAGCGCATGCCAGTCCTGGGCCTGCAGGAGCAGCCCCAGGTATGTGCCTGAGTACGCGATGTCCTGGCACAGGCTGCCCTGGAGAGAGGAGGGTAAGGAGAGCGTGGGGGAGGTAGGAAGGTCCAGAAAGCAGCAGGCCACTTCCTTTTCAATTCTGGCCTTTCAGCAGGCATCCAGGAAGCAGAGCTTTCTGCTAACAGCCTGGCTTCCTAGCAGGTGTCAGGACCGAAGAGGCAAGGCGCTTCGAGTCCAGAGGTACCTCTCATGAACCTGAGGCCACCTAAGAAACCTGGAAGCCTGCAGAAAAGGAAGGGGTTGAGGCCCCAGAGACCACGCTAGGGCTGGCCTTGCAGGGCCACTAAGTGGACTCTACCTGCTGTTGAGAATACACCCTAAAGGACTCTCTCTCAACCTTGAACAGGGCATTGAAAGCATCGACCAGATTGCCAGCCTGTGCCAGTCTGACCTGGAGGCCGTGCGGGTGGCAGCCCGGGAAACCACACTGTCATTTGGTAAAGTAACACATCCCATGCAGGACAGCGGGGTTCCTGGGGCCCTTAGAATCTGTGCGAGGCCACACCCAGCTCTCCTGGCAGGCAGAACAGCTCTGGAGCACCCCAGATAGGCAGCGTTAGCAGCCCTGGTGCAGAGCCGACCTCTACCCTTTGCAGCATTCTGCCAGGACAGGCCTCGTTCGTGGCTGGGGTGGCAGGGAGTGTTTGCTGTCTTCTTAGACTTTATGATCTTTGGGACAGAGGCCAGAACCAGGGCAGGGTTCTGATTCGCCAGAACATCCTAGAGGTAAAAGCAAGGCCCCTGGGCAGCGAGAGTCACCGGGTGGGGGCTCCTGCCCATACTCCCTCCCCCACCACTTTGCAGAGACCACTGAGACCCACAGTCACTAAGCATTAAGGCCACCTTGGCCCAGGAGAGTAGGAAACACCAAGGCGGCAGGAGCCAACCTGGTGACAGAGGCCTTTGCTATTTCAGGTGAAAAAGGACGGTTAGCTTTTGAGAGGATGGACACACTCTGCTCAGAACAAAGAGAAGTCTTTGGCCAGGAGGCAGATGTTGAAATCACAGTATTTTAAAATATCCTGGCTGATGAGCAAATCTCACCTCGGTTTTTTTGCTCCTGCTTGGCCTGGATATAACACCTGAGCTCTGGGTAATGGTGCCGTCTGCTCCTCTAGGAGTGTGAGCTGCCCAGCGCTCTGCCTGAGGCTCCGGCCACTGACCCAGGGCATAGGCTGGTCTTTTGGACAGGATAGAAAAATGCAAGGCCAAGTACAGCATTCCAGGGGCTGCACTGCCTCAACAGAGCCCCCAACTTCTGGCTGAGGGTGTGTGTGACTTTCCCCAAGATGCAGAGCCGAGCCGCACTTGGTGGCCACCTATAAGAGGGCCAAGGCCAGGTAAAGTGAGGCCCTGAATAAAAGGTTCCACAATGAGGGTATGGAACTCCAGGCCTCCCTGCCACTCAGCACTTCTGGGTCAACAGACAATGGGATGGAGGAGGCTGTTCAAGTCATCTCAGCAGCAGCCAGCTGTCACCCCGGTGAGCTGGGGAAGGTGGGAAGGCACAAAGCCAGGGTTTCTATAGCCACACTCTCGGCCTGACCTGCAGCCAGCATGCCATGGAGCCCACGGACAGCGGCTGCTGGACTGTGAACCTCACGTTCCCTATGCTCAGCGGCACGAAGGGAAGAAGCCACCACATCAGCCCAGGAGCCGCTTGCTACCCAAATGCAATCCAGCTTCGGAGTCAGTCCAGGGCTTTGTCAATAAACTGCTCCAGAAGCCATCAGCTGCCCCGAAGAAAGAGTTCGCTGAAGAACATGTTGCTTTAAAGAAAGAAAATTGATTTCCTACTTAAGTCTATTAGAAAAAAGCAAACCACATCCTGAGAGTCCGTTAATGTAGAGAGCCTAGGCTTTGAGGTGTTGTAACCACGGCATCGGAGAACTTTCTCATCCAAACTTCCTGTGTACATTTTGTGCTTTTTTTGGTTTAACTTGGTATTTATTTGCCTTGTTCATATGTTCAATTTTCTGAAATTTCAATTAAACTTTTAATTGGTGTTTCACTTCTTACCTAAAAGAGTAGACAGTGGTTATTTCCACAAATACCTCTGGGGGAAACAAACATTTCCCCAAATGCCAATGGGGGGGGTCACTCCTGTGGTCTCATGGGGCACTGTGAGGACACTTGAAGGAGGGGCCTCAGGCAGCAGCTCTGGTAAACGTCATCCCTGGGCTTCTCCACATGCTGGTGAAGGCTCCAGGTGTGCTCACCCCATATGGGCATTCTGCAGCATGGCCTTCGCCCTTTTGCCCATCTGATTTGTCAGTCCCCCTTCTCTTTTCTGAAGCATCAGCAGTACTAGCCTAGAGCAGGGGTCCCCAACCCCCAGTCCACACACCTGGTACTGGTGCAAGGCCTGTTAGGAACTGGGCTGCAGGGCAGGAGGTGAGCGGTGAAGTGAGCATTATTACCTGAGCTCCGCCTCCTGTTAGATCAGCTGCAGCATTAGGTTCTCATAAGAGCGTGAACCCTATAGTGAACTGTGAGATCCAGGTTTTGTGCTCCTTATGAGAATCTCATACCTGATGACCTGAGGTGGATCCCAAAACCATCCCCCACCACCCCCAGGTCTGTGGAAAAACACTTCCATGGAGCCGGTCCCTGGTGCCATAAAGGTTGGGGACCGTGGCCCTGGAGCAACCTCCTTCTTGAAAGCTTAGATGACCTTTTTCATACCCGAAACGGTAGGAGCCACACTGACATCTGCAGCCCCAGGCCCCTGTGGAGCCACGTGACCACAGCCTATCCTGTTGCTGGTCTCGGGAGCCTGGCCATGCAGTCAGGTTTGAAACAGCTGAGGAATCTTGGAGGGTACCGGGGAACTCTGTACTTTTTGCAACATTTTGCAAATCCCAAATTACTTCAAAACGAAAAGTTTAAGTTTCTGGGGAATTTACACTGTTTAATTTTGTACACAAATGAAAGACTATCTTATTTCTAAGTCAATTCTATATCAAATAGACTTTATGTACTGAGATGCGTTAACCATTGTCTCTTATAGGCAATTGGGTAATGGACAGAGTTTTGAGACTACAACTTAAAACTGTTCTTCAAACACCACTGATGATAAGTTTGTGAAATTATGCCAAGTGGGGGTTTTGGAAGGAAACGCGCTGAAGCCTAAGGTGGTCAATCAGCTCCCAGTCAGGAAAGCATTCCAGCCCGAGGGCGCTGTCCACGCCAGACGCTGAGGTTAATTCTGGGAAGTGGAAAACTCTAACCCCAGTTGACAACATCTGTTTCACATCAGCAGGGATGGAAAGAAACAGAAGTCACTCGTCCAGGCTTAGGTCTATTAAGCAAAGCAAAGAAAATGGGAAGCACCCCAAATTCATGTTCTTTAGAAAAAAATTTTATTGTTGCAGCTAAAAGGCAAACCCATCGTGAATACGGCAAGTTGGAAAACTGTACAGTCTGACAGTTCTGTGAGGTCACAGAAGACCCTGAGACATGCCCCCCGCCCACCTGGTCATGCAGCCACGTATCCACACACACCTGGAAAGGTATTATACCAAAACATCTCACTTTTTTTTTTGTTTTTATTTTTGTAAAAATGGTTTATTCCACGGCCATTGTAAAAAATAATGACCTGATGAGTAAATATTGGCTTAAGGCATATAGCAGAGCAGCTCGCTACCTCTCTAACATACGAGTAACAGGGTGGAGAGCCCCAGCCGCTCTCCAGGGTAGGCGGTTAACCAGTACGTCCATTTTGAAATGCTACTATATATACACACCCAAACTACTACATACATATACAGGACTTAAAAACAACAAGCCCAGCTCAGAATGCTGACAGCCTGGCACCTCAGCCTTATCCGCACCTCACCACAGCTCTGCGGGGCGACGCCTCGAGTGTTACCACCACATTTCTCTGTACTGGCTTCTACCATGAGAAAGGCAAAATGTGAAAATGCTGGCAAGAGAGTAGCTCCGGAGCTACAGCTGCCGTGTTTTTCTTGTTAAAAAGCCACTTAATGTGGAGGTCTTAAGTTCCTTTTGCAGGAAGAGTTGTGAGCACCAGCGGGCCCCCACAGGGTTCGAGGGTGGGGCAGACGCGCCTCTCTCAGCAAGGTGAACCAAGACAGAGATGGCGGCAGGCTGCCTAAGGGACTGTCACCCAGGCTGTTTAAGAAGTGTGGTTTCCAGCAGTTGCCTCTCTTCCAAATCACAGTCTGCTCAAGTAGAGTGCTGACTTGGAATAGTGGAGGCTGATCCCAAAGGTGGGGTGGGGGTGTCCCTGCTTGCCTCAATCATGTCCAGAGCGTGAGGTGTGAATATGGCTTCCATACCCTTGGAATGTCTGAGTTACAGCGAGACCCTGCTGTACCAGGACAGGCCGGGCCTCACCAGGAAGTCACTAGAGTGTCATGCCAGGAATCCGGCAAATGCCTATTCCTGGAAAACTGCACCCTATTGCTGAGTGACAATGACTTCAGCAACAGGCTTAGGAACCACAGCCATGTAATGATCAGGTCATGCACAGGCAGGGTAGACTTGGACATGGGCACATGAGTAAGCAGAGATCCAAGTTTCTCATTTCAAGCACATATTTTTCATCAGGACACAAGAAGACCGTACATGCATTCTAATACACTTGGGGGAGTGGTGATCGAGAACTAGAGCTAGCAGGTAACAGGGAGGAGAATAAGCGGGACTAAGTCATCTCACATCATGTTTCTTATTAAATACCCACGTGTTCATTATATATTATAGCATTGTTCTACCTTCTCACGTTACCCACAATATCACTAAATAACGACTGCTTACAACCGTCCTCCTTCCCAGTACTGGTCTGATGCAGCAGGCCCATGGCAAAGTCTTCCATTCCCAGTACTACCTGAGGATTGATTATTGTACTTTTTGATAAAGCCCTTGATGCAAGGCTGACATCAAAAAATTTTAATACATTATTGGTTCAAGAAAATGCTAGTGCACTATGGACGCCTTTAGGGGAGTTTGTTTAAATAAATATGGAGTGGAGAGTTGCTCCCTGCAGATTCAAGGGGGGCTGTTGGTGTGCCACCCGCTGGGCTGCTCCAGGTGGGAGCCCTGGGGTGGGGGGAGCCCCGAGACTGGTGCGGGCCCCTTCCCTCTGTGCCACAGCATGGTACTCTCCTTCGCTCTCCTCAAAAAATGGCTTGTGGATTTGGTACTCAAAGGGGAAGGGGCAAAAAGTAAAAGGATGAGGGGTGAGACACACATTCAGGGAAGATGGGTTTTAGTGCAGAACCAACGTCCGTCAGGGGCCCGGCTCTCTACGCGGTCCAGTGGCCCTTACCTACCGCGGCATGCCTGCTAGTCGGGCGTGGGCTCTGCGGGCAGAGGCGGACAGTGGGTGGAGGTGGAGTGGAGGAGGGTCAGGCTATGTGTTGCTGTTGAACAGGAACTGGAATGAAATCAAACAGTTCAGATGAGCCCAGACCCGCACCCACAGAGCTGTCGCCTCATGCATGACCCCGGCCATACCCCCCGGCAACTCCAACCTCTGAGGGAGCAAAGGGGGTTTTGGTTTTTCTTTTTACGGTAGCCCCCTCTCCCCAAAAATCACCCCCAAGGAAAAAATTGTTTGCATTTTGCAAAACCATCTGATGTACTCGGCCACCTGGAAAGAGGTAAAATATTTAAAACGATGAAACAGTCTGAGGTCATTTCCATGGCCAGAGCTCTGAGGCTAGTCCTCTCTTCCCCTTACTTAACAGCAACACACATCTACCGTGAGGATTTCTGCTGAAATGGCACTTCTCCCAATGAGGTGGAGCCCGCTCCTCTGAATCAACAGTGGGTTGGCATGCCGATGGCCACCCTGACCCCAAGGCAGAGGCCTGAAGGAAACCCATTTATGGGGATGGGGTGATGAGGGCTGGTATATGAGCAACATGGCTGCCACAGGAGGGACCAATGGAGAAAGGACAATGGAAACCCAGCAGGGACACCCTGAGCAGAAGCAGAGGTGGGTGTTGTTTTCTAGATGGCCTTTTGCTGCTGTTCTTACTGTGGGAAAGCTCGAAGCCCCTGTCCTGGCTCAGTGTGCACACAGCTGAGGGGCCTGAGTGCAATAGCATCCTAACCCTCTTCTCCAAGGGAGTTTACATTCATAAAAGTTTGGGATTCCTTCCCTGGGAAATCAAATATAAATTATATAGCTGATTATATCACCTAAAGGTATGAGAAAGTTTCATAAGTGCCTAGAGTTTTTTTTTTCCAGAAATAACAAAAAGCTGCTTTTTATAAAGGTTAAAAACAACAATGTGTTGTAACTCTATTTTTTTTTCAAAAACAAATGAACAGGAAAAAAAAAAAGAGAGAGAGAGAAACAGACATATTTGGCATTTTCTCTACTTACTCCTGAATAGGTTAAGGCCCTGAGATTAGACTCTTATATTCTTGGGACCAGAGGGCTCCTTAAAACCCCAGTGCATCGATCCTTAATTCTCTTGTTAGCCCTTCCACAGTTCCAGACTTTTTAAACCTTTGCTCTGTTTCTTCTGAGACTGGCTCAGATGCGCCACAGAACTGAATCCTACCATCGGGCTAGCGGCCAGTGCTCTCTGCACATGCGCACCTTGCCAGCACGTCTGTCAGTGGAAACATACCCTGTAGCACAGGTACGCGCAGGCCATGAGGACTGTAGCCAAGCACATGTTGACCAGGAAGGGCTTCCAGTGAGTGAGTGCATGGTCCTCCTCCTCCTTGGGCGGTGATGGCTCTCCTTGGGCTGGGAAGGCAGCCTGGGCACCTCGAAGACTTCCCCCCACGACACGACTTCTAACTTCAGTGTCTTGACTCATGCTGAGGAATCAGAGGGGCAGGGATGGGTTACTCACTTGGGAGAAAATGAAAGGCAAGGATGCTGCTACTGTGGCAGGAACTTTAGGAAAAAACAAGCCACGTGAAGACAGAGTAGGCTGATGTTAACCCTGCCAGCCAGCCAGCCCCCTCTGCTTGGAGGGAGGGCCAGGCCAGGGCCCATAGCAGCCTGCAGTCCACTTGTCACCCCTCCCCCAGGTACTTCA